ACGTATCAAAGTAAAAGCGAGAGGTAAACGCCGCCCTCCGACCTCTCCGTTCCCCTCCCCCCTCCTCCTCCCCATTTCGAATATTCGTGCTGCTACTCCACGGCACTCTGCTAATACTCTGCGCCCCTTGTAAGTGGGTCGTGCAAAACTGGGTCAACGATGCACGCGCGAATTAATTGCGGATTAATTTTTAACACGAGAGAGAAATCGGAGGAGGTAAAATCGTGAGAGAAAAAGGGGGTAGCAGAGACCGACGAGGGGCGTCAACAACAACGCAAGAACACAACGGCGGCGGCAGCGATTACTCGCGTGGTGAAAGGTGCTAATTTTTCTCGTCCGACAATTGCCACTGATGATAATCGTATGCTCACCGTACGTGTCGCGATACGTATTGCAAAGTATCGACCCAAAAGTTCGTATTCGTCATAGCAACCTCGTTCGCTGTTTCTAAACAGCTGGAAAGAAAACTGGTTTTTTTAGGTGTCCCGTCGCCTGGCCAATTTTTTTTTAAATTGACCCTTTCGCTACAAACTCCATTCCCCACCGTTGAACGACGCCGCCGCATCAATACGTGTGCACGGTGCTCGAGAAGAATCGTGAGCGTCTTATAATTCGAGGTGTTGATTGAAGAAAAAAAAAATTGATGATAAAAACAAAATATCGATGCTATATTTCCAGAGAAAGATACTCGATAACTCGGATCGTACAATCGTAGTAGCGAAAGGGTTAAACGGAAGAATAAATTTCGATAGAAAATTGTCAATATTCAATGATAAAAATTCGTCTTTTCTAAGAAAAATTTAGAAGAAGAAGAAAGAATACGTTACGGTTACGGTTTGCGATTTTTCTCTTATTTTCTTTGACAACAGCAAGACGCTTTTTGTTTTTTTTTTTTTTTTTTTTATATCGTGGCTCGATCAATCACGAAGCCTTTCGCCTCATTGTCCCGTAAGAAAAGTGACAGATGGCCAGGCGACGGCGATGCTTCCCGCCATAACTTTGGAGGAGAAGAGGACAACCACTTACCGGCTCTCACGTTAACATCTCGGCTGTGAACTGAACCTGCTGGGGAACGCGCCAGACAGCTGTAAACCTGAGCATGAACCTCTTGACGATAATCCTCGGCGCGGAAAGGGGGGAAGACCAAATTTCCGTTCGGCAAGACCTGGCAAAAAGAATTAATCGACGCTCGTAAATGATCGACTCGACACGTGGAAGAGTCGATGTAACGAAAAAGGGAATAAATTGCTTCCGTTTTCAATTCGTATTATCTACCTGTCTGAGTCCAGGAACATCCCCAACAGCGCTTCCGTCTGCACGAACCCAAATGATATCCGGTTGGGGGTTTCCTCTTGCCTGGCATTCGACGACAGCTCCGGTTCCGTTCGAGAAGTCGACTCGGTTTGGTGGTTCCTTGACGAATACGGGTCCCATTGATTCATCCTCGGCGCAAGCCACTGCGGGAAAAAGAGGAACAAGATCTGTTCGAAGATCTGCATCTACATCGCAATCTCGATCAAACGGAAACCCGCCGGCTTGTTCTCTTCGTGCCACTTGCAACGCGGCCATCGAAGGGAACTGATTAATCGAAACTGTCAACGGCACAAGGAACTTTTGCTGCGTGTCTTTCAGCCTCGCTTATCATCCGTCCGGGCCAGGATACGCGACACCCACGTTCAATTGGCGCGTCGCCAATTGCAGCAAACAACAGGTTGCCGGCCTGCTATTGAATAATATGCTATCGACGTCACGTGACCATAAGGGAGAGACGGCAATGCGTGATTCCTTTTCCGCCTCGGAGATTTCCAGCCATCCCAAAGGGGTTCGAATTCGCGCTACAAATTCTCCCCTCTTTCATTCTCTCCCTATTCGGTCGATCGATTATTCTTTTTCCGATTCGCTCGTATTTATTTTAAATCTCGAGATTTCCGCGCGTTCCCGATTACACAACAATCCCTCGTTCCATTTACGTACGATTTTATAACCACGTTTTACGACGAGGACGGATAAACGCAGCGCCGTTGTGTAAAATCCAAGTCACGGAGAACCGGTTATCGAGGCATCCCGAACCGAGGGAACGAGCTGCGCACACAGAAGGAGGGAACAGGTGTTTCGAATTTTTCTTCTTTATCTGAAATTTCTTTCCGCGCCCTTGTGCCTGCCCTCAGCCGCGATTTCTCGACAAAGCGCATTTTATCCTCGACTTACGTTTTCCCGTAATCCGATTCGACACTTCTATGGCAGCGCTCGTGTATATTGTATATATAGATTTATATTATGCGTGGAACGGAGAAAAGTATTTTTTTTTTTTTGCGTTACAAAATACACGACGCTTCTGTTGCAACGAGTGAATGAACAGCTTGTCCATTAACGAAACGCTTTTGCACAACGAGAGAGGAGGATGAAAGAAAGAAAGAAAGAAATATTGATCGATCGGTGACCCGATAAACCCGATGGGTAAAAGTGTTTTTTCGTTAAGTTGCGGCTCGTTACGCGCCCACGATCAAAGACGAGATTCTTCCCGGTCGATAACCGTTCTGTAATCTATATATAGGCAAGCTTTGAAACACGTTCGGACACGCTAAATCCAATATATATTTCCAACAAAGAGATATATACCTAGCTATAATGTACACCGGTGTGCCGTGTATTCCCGTTCGCACGATGGAAATGATGCGCGTGTGATTCACGCGCTTATTCTTCCACGCATGCGCGCATGTTGGAACTCGAAACATCGTGACGATCATAATAATAATAATAATAGGAGAAGGAAAGAGTTTTAAAATGTTCCGTGGTCGAAAATCGTTTTTTTTTTTTCTTTTTTCTCGACTCCTCTGTTCGTACAATTCATCGAGACACGTAACACGGGTGTCGATAAATGCGTCGCGAAAAAATGATTGACGACAATCAATTGGGTAAAATTTAATAATTGAAGTTACGAATAAAATTACTTTCTAATAAGTTACTACTTCGGTAATTTATCGTAATAATAATTGAAAATAATTGAAATGCCAAACGTTCGAGAGAAACGGATCGATTTTAATAGATTATTTAAGCATTTTAATTATTTAAAGTAACTTTATTCGAAAATTTTTAAGTAGTTACTTTTTTCAACGGATTAATCCTTTGATTTCGGCATTTCGAGTAGCAAGAGACGAAAATAATTATCATTCAAAATCTTGCATTCGACTTTTAGGTCAAGTACAGGTTCCGTTGGTTTCTTCGATTTAGTTCTTGAGACTATTTTTGGAGGAAAGCTGACTCTCCCGCTTCGTAACACCGACTACTTTTTTTTCTTTCTTTCTTTCTTTCTTTCTCCGCGATCTTTTTATCCTCTCCTTTCTTCCTTTTTCTTTCTGCGTTTTATTAAAAAAAGTCCAACGAATCCATCGCCTCGTGTTGGAAAAAACGCGACTAAATCAAAGGATTCACCTGGCGAGGCACGGTACTCGAGCCAGCTACGATTCTCTTTCGAGCACGGGTGTCCGTTCTTGGAACAGCAGCAGCTGTTCCTTTCCCTTCGTTTCCTCCTTCTCCCCTCGATCTTTTCTTCGGCAGCTGCAGTCCGTGCTCCGTTTCTACCTACGCCTCTCTCGTCGACCTTTCACGAGCTCACGGATTCGAAACGAAGCAACTCGAGATTGCATCCGTCTAGCTAGATTTCCCATCTGCCCTATATTACTCCCCAAGGGAACGAAATTCCTTTTTTTTTTTTTCCAATCACAAAGAAAAGAAGGACACGGAAGGACTCGTTGCAACAGTATCGATCTGCTAAGAGGAAACGTGACGAAGAAGACTTGTTTTAAATTGTCTATTAAATCAAGGACGTGTGAGAAACGATCCAAAGTCTCGAATTTCACGATCAATTCGTATTAATTTAAGACAATTGCAAAACTCGTTCCGTCTCTTTCTTCCCTATTCGTTCTTTTCATTGATGGGGCACTCGTTTCAAAGAACGTGCTGCTTCATCCGAAACACGACTAACTGCGTCAGCTGCTGACCTCACGGCGTTACATGTTACACGTATTCGATGCATAGACGATTAGATGGTGGAGATATAACGCAGATGCTCGCTGCCTTATCTTTAATAATAACGCAACCACCACTTCCACGACATTGTTGCATCACGATCTCGAGATCCATTCTCATCTCAACGATCCCGAATTCACGGTCGCTCACGTTGCAATATTGATATTGTTCTTTTCTCTCTCTCTTTTTATTTTTTTTTTTTTTACGTACTAGTTGACTCACCGTTCGTCAATGCCAGAACAGCCAAGAGCAGCATCGTCGTTAGATAAGTGGGTATATTACACCCTCCTCCTGGAGGATCGAGCCACATTCTGATCCTGTCTTCCTTGATCGCACTGATTCTCACCTGAGGATTCACACAGAAAAACACGCGAGCTTGATTGAATTGAATTGAACTCGGCCGAATTTCACCGAAGAGCCACGTGCACCGTTGGATCGCAACAGCCACGCCTACACGTCGTATAGCGTGACGAGAGGAAAAAGGATCCAAAAAAAAAAAAAAATCTAAAATTTTTACAGGATACAACACGCCAGTTTCCCTTTTATACGCGCGCCACCGACGAGAACAAAACGTTTTTGGTGTTTGGTTCGAACGACCTTTGCACGGTTCAAGGCCGGCTGCTTCATCCATCAACGCTACGGGAATTTTTTTCGAGGCCGCCGCGGAGATTGTCATGCGATCGGTTGCAAAGCCATTAAGCGGAAGCGGAACACGTCATCGGTCGTACTTGATAGTTCCCTCTATCTTTACATTCTCATACGACCGATATCTTGCACGTGCGTATCAAAGAAACGCGTGTTTGCGTGTCTTGTGGCGGAAATAAAAAGAAGCGTGTACGTGAATGGAGCCTTATTCGAATCTGGGATGAAGATCTTGGAGGAAAAGATTGGCCCCGAGCCTTTTCGGCCACGAAATTACGAGGCCTGTGCGCGTCAACGTTTTTTAAGCGAGTTAAAAAGCGAAGCGGCCGAAAACGAAGAAAAGGGATAAAAAGAAAAGAAGGGAAGAGAGGGGAGGAGGAGGAAGGAAAAAAAAAAGGAAATCAATGCATGAAAACTGAAAGTGCACGAAGCCTTTAGCATCCGTCGGCTCGTGATAATCCCTGGAACACGTTGCCGCTCGTTTTTCAAAAGCACCGGTGATACAGCGTGCACGTGCTGAATCGTTGATAGCATGTTGGTTAGATAGGAAGAAGAGAAGTGAACGGGAGAGACGGAACGACGCAAGAGAAGCAAGAAGAGGGACGGAGGAGAGGAAGAGAGATGGAGAAATGGGATGGAGAAAGGAAGAGAGAGAGAAAGAGAGAGAGAGAGAAGCAGCGAAGCACGGAGTAGTGCGGCTCGTCACGGAGCTGCTCCCTCTCGGTGGGTTTATTGATCGCAGGGTGCGGAGCGGACCAATCTACCCCTCGTGCAGCGTACGCCATGCTGGCTGGTATTTGCCCGAACCAGTCCGCTTGCTTGGCCAGCCTGCCCGATTCTCCTCCGTCAGCCTTCGCTAAATCTGGAAAACCCACCCCCCGCCCCTATAAAACTCGGCATGGCCCACTATCTGGACCAGAAATACTACTCTCGTGCTTCCCGTTGCCACGAATCTCAACTAGAAGATGCAGACGCGGAGACAAATTGCGAATAAATTAATATCACCGTGTCATTGTTCGTATAATTAATCTTGACGTTAATGCTACGACCGATAGATCTGGGCCATCCACAATATCTATCTGACTTCGAGTAAGGTCACCACCCTTGCACGCGACGCGGATAAACTTTTGTCTGATCTTCTTTCGGTAAACATCTCCACTCCTTTTTGCGTCGAGAAAAGATTCGCGGAAAGATGTATCATTCGCGAACAATGAATATTTTCCAATAATATCCGTTGAATCGTTTTGTAATTGCATCGTACGATTAACCGATTGCTGCAGTGGTAAGGAATCGCGTGCTGCGTCTTTCTGCGTTTATAATTATTTCGTATTTTGGGATGAAACAACCGACTTGTCAGTTCTTTCGATCCAACAACTCTCCGGGTACATCGACCTAATCAAGATTTTATCAAGATACGCCAACGAGCTGTTGCGATCACGAGTTGTTGCGAGAGAATATTAATCGGTACGAAGCTTTCGATCGGAAACGATCACCCGCGGTAGTCACACTCTCTACGTTCACAGAACACATGCACACGCGTACACACCCACGGAAGATTTCGCAAATCCTCGAAAGATTGATTGCCGACAGATCTTTTCGAATCCGCCTCTTTCTTTTGCGATAATCGCACGCAAATTTCAAATAAGCGAATTCGAACGTGACTCGCACGTGCAAATCTTCTACACAACGTTTTCACCGGTTTACGTACCGACGACACGTTGATCAAATCGCAAAGATACACGCTGACCACACCGGTACGATGAACAGAACGAACACTCTAGGTCCGTAAACGACCGAAGAGTGCGGCGAGGAGCGTCGTTTGCTTCGAGACAGCGGCTGCTCCACGGGATCTCGAGGCTGATAGTGGGGGAATCGAAGTCGTGATTCGCTGTTACCTCTCATTGTGGTGGGGACGCCGGTTGGTCGACCTTTGTCACACGCGACGGAAGCTATACTTTCGCACCAAGTTTAATTCTAATTATTCTATGTTTATGTGTTGTCACATTACCAAATTTCACTTTCTTAAAGTATATTTTTCATGTATAAATGACCCAGTTTTAATAAAACCATGCCATTTTTACGCATGGTTTTTCTGGCCTCTATCTTTTGAATTAAGAAGAAGGCTTTACTTACTATCTTATCACGAAAAAGAGATTTCAGAAAATTTTTTTATTCAATAAAAGTTTTCATAAAAAAATTTCAATTCGAAAGATTGTAAGAATTGTAATATAATGTAATCAATATTTAAAAATTGTTTTATATTTTATTTTATATATGATATTCTCCGTTGATAATTGAAATTCTATGTTCTTCAGACTTTCAAATATTTGATTGATTCATACGAATTTACGATTACGATGAATGAAAATCGAAAGTACCGTTTTGTAGTGACGTAAAAGAATACTGTGAGACACGTCATTGAAATATGACTACTTTATTGACAAGTTTTCCAAACTCGTGTGAATTATTACACGAATTTTGTTAGTGCGACGCTTGATAAGGAAGGATTCGTCCGTCTCTTTGCCACGAATTGGTGTCAAACATGATCGAGAGAGAACAGACAAAAAAGGATATAAAAGAATTAACGAAAAATGACAAGTATTCGATTTTACTTCCAACTTATAACGAAGTCGAGAATTTGCCTATAATTATTTGGCTTATTATCAAGTATATGGACGAGAGGTAACTATCGTGGCGACATAACCTCAAACGTGAATGAAATCATTGCTTCTGAAATGGTGTAATTATACAATTATATATATATGAGATCAAAAAGATCGATCAGTCAAGTGAAAATATGCAACATTCTAGCGATCTGGATTATGAAATAATCGTGATAGACGATGGTTCTCCAGATGGAACATTGGATATGGCCAAACAGCTGCAAAATGTGTACGGTGAGAACAAAATAGTCTTGAGACCAAGAGAAAAAAAACTTGGGCTGGGCACAGCTTATATGCATGGGATTAAACATGCTACAGGAAACTTCATTGTCATTATGGATGCAGATTTGTCTCATCATGTCATTATCTTAATCTTGAAACGCATACTTTAAAAATAACGTTGAATTTGTTATTTGTTATGTGTATTTTTATTTTTATAGCCCAAATTTATACCAAAAATGATAGAACAGCAAAGATATCTTGATCTAGATATTGTTAGTGGTACCAGATACGCACAGGGTGGAGGAGTTTATGGATGGGATTTCAAAAGGAAATTAATAAGTAGAGGAGCAAATTTCTTGACACAACTTTTGTTAAGACCAGGAGCAAGCGATTTGACGGGAAGTTTTAGGCAAGTAATTTAAAATTAATTATAATATAAATTCCGTAATTAACAAATAAATCTTGTACTATTAAAATTATAGGTTGTATAAAAAAGATGTACTGGAAAAGCTTATACAATCTTGTGTATCAAAAGGATATGTCTTCCAGATGGAAATGATTGTAAGAGCAAGACAATTCAAGTACACTATAGGAGAAGTTCCAATTACGTTTGTCGATCGTCTTTATGGAGAATCGAAATTGGGAGGATCGGAAATTTTCCAATTTGCAAAAGGTCTTCTATATCTTTTTGCCACCACATAATATAATATATATTAAAAAAAAATAACATTCCTTGTGTACAAAAATTATACATGTAAAGAAGAGAAAGTGTATATTATGTTTTTTAAATAAATATTTATAATTTAAATTTCTTTATCGGTATTATATACGCGATAATTGATATAATAAATTTAATTTTTTTAAATTAACAAAGCGCGAATAAATACGAAACGAAAGCGCACGTGTATACACACACGTGGTTGTGAATGACGGACACATATAACGATTCTCTAGCATGCGATTCCACCCTCGCCGCACCCTCTGACGTCACACAGCCTCCGTTTATTGATCCATTACGAAATTACAGTCTATATTTCGACTTGAGCAGAATGCAAGACGGTGCCATAACGTGCCATGTACGGAAACTAGCCAAGATGTGAAAAAATATTCCTACGATTCTGTAAATTTCCAATTTCCAACACGTATACAATATAACAAATAAACTTTCGTAATTAATCCATATACCATTTCTTCACGAATAAGTCGAAACAATCTTTTTTTACAACGACAAAAATACCGACAAATGCTATCTAATATTCAACATTATCCCCTTCGAAAATGTCAAAACTATTTTTAAAAAAAAAATCTACGGAATCGTTGTGCTTGCTCCCGATCGATCATCTATTTTTTTTTTTTTTTTTTTCTCCTATTTCTCGATAAAAAGGCTCTTTGTGAAAAGTGTCTCTCTCTCTCTCTCTCTCTCTCCTCCGACGGAA